GGTGCGTTTCGTTTTCAAATCTAATTTATAGAGTCTACTGTAGAGATTATCAAATTTTTGTAGCAAAGATGATATTCATCATTCACATCTTCATCAGACACACAATCACAAACAAACCAGGCTCAAAAAATTCAATCCATTTATTCCAATAGATGTATGTTTCCAAAAAAGATATTCATATGTCCTTTGTTCGCCTTTTTTTTGCCTTTTTTGCCTTTTTTTGCCTTTTTTCTGACTTTTTATCCCGGAATAAAGATTCCTTTGAAAGTTCTCTCTTTTTTTTTCGGAGTTTTAAAGAAAAATGCGAACAAGCACTCCATCAACAGGATAGGATAGCATTTGATTCCTTTTTTTCATTCCAAACAAAAACGAACATAACATATTCTTGTCTATTTGGTTATAAAAATTCATTAATATTGAATTTTATGCTTTTATCATTGCTTTCCATCTCAATAATCGGCTCTTGTGGGTTTCCGGGTTTTTTGAAGATTGTGAGACATTTGATACGCGCCCCGCTTCTTTGCCATTGATAATCCACCCTTGAGCTCAAATATCTTGCTATTGACCTGTTGAATTTAAATAGTTTTTGTATCAATCGATAGAGAAAGACTTGGCGCATCTAATGATACCAGGAAAGTTTAAATTGGATAGCCCAACGCCGGATATTTAAGCTCAAAGTTGAATTGCCAATGGCAAAAGGGGCGGGGCGATGGACCTTTCATACGCGCCCCGCCCCATTTTCCCATTGGCAATCTAAGATATTTGAGCTTAAAGTTAGATTGCCAATGGCAAAGGGGGCGGGGTGTTCAATAACCTATTTTGAATGAGTCACGCTTCGAAAGTCCATAACTTCATCCAGAGATAATATTATTCAAAACTTTTTATGTCAATGTATAGAAGAGAATGGGACAACCTTTTATAAGCGCCCTGCTTCTTTGCCATTGACAATCCACCCTTGAGCTCAAATATCTTGCTATTGGCCTGTTTAATTTAAATAGTTTTTGTATCAATCGATAGAGAAAGATCTTGGCGCATCTAATGATACCAAGAACGTTTAAATTGTACAGCCCAACACCAAGATCTTTGAGCTTAAAGTTGGATTGCCAATGGAAAAGGGGGCGGGGTGTTCAATAACCTATTTTGAATGAGTCACGCTTCGAAAGTCCATAACTTTATCCAGAGATAATATTACAAAACTTTTTATATCAATGTATAGAAGAGAATTCAGGCTTTCGAATGACACCAAAAAGAGTTTGATTGGATTTTTCATTTTTATGCAAACAGCATCCGAATTGGATCGGCGTTTGTTTAGAGTTTTGATTTTCCTTGACTGGATTTAATTTGACTGGATCCTTGACTGGATTATTTAATTAAACTGTATTTGATATCATTTAAAAGCCTTGACAAGAGCCTAATCTTTTAATGAACACTAATTTTTAGCTCATCGACTTGACACAAAGAAAAAAAAGAATCAAAAAGAGTCACACCGACTCGATTTTCCGCTTAGTTGACGTGAGAAATATGAAAAGGAAAATGTCGAAGGAAAAAAAGAGAGGTCAAACATGAGAATTTCGAAGTTTCAATTCTCTTTTGAACTCTCACCTTTTGGCATAAGAAGAGGTATAAGAAGAGGTATAAGAAGAGGTATAAGAACAGGCATAAGAACTTTCAAAGAGAGTTGTTTCAAAAGGCTAGGTCAGCTTTGACTTGCCAGAGATCCAACTCATGAAATCCCGAAAATCCAGGCTTGATCTAGCTGTCTTAGAACCCAATTGCAACCCAATTTCAACCTGCAAATCACGATTTCGTTCGTTTACACGGTATTCCAAAAACTATCAATCTTTTCAATCGTATCAATCGATCTTCCTTTTGGAAGAGATTTAACAGATAACTTTCGTCTAAAGCTTTAAATTTCTAAAGTGGACAGGCTCTAGTTTTCCTCCTTTTCCTTTGAACTCTTTCATCCACTTAATCTCTCAATATTTGATCAATCTCTCAATATTTTCTCTATCTCTTACTCACTTCAATTCACTCAAATCACATCATTCGTCTCGATATAATTGGAGACAAAATATTCTAGAGAATTCGGATTTTTTTTTTTTGTTTTTTGAACGAAAGTTTATTAGCAAATGAAAAGAAAAGAAAAATCAAATTTCCACGCCTATAATTGGGGTGGTCAATGAGTTTTTTCTAAGGTTTAAATTTATTTTTCCTTTATTTTTCCTTTATTTTTCCAAAAATCCGAAAACCTGAATATCTATTATTCTTTGGTTCAATTTTTTTCCAATTTTTTTCCAAATTTTCATAGTTAAAATAGAATTTTATTAGTTTATTATATGTTTTAAAAGAAAAGAAATCATTTAGAATAAAAATCCTTATCTTAAAACTCTTTTAGAATAAAAAACTTAGCTTGAAAATCTTTTAGAATAAAAACCTTAGCTTGAAAATCATTTAGAATAAAAAACCTTAGCTTGAATAAAATAAAATCCTTAGAATAAAAATCCTTTTCTTAAAAACCCTTAAAACTTTATCGGAAAAAGGTTTTGAAGGGGTAAAATGCTCTCAGGATAAGGATCATTTTCGTCATTCAAAACTATCATTAACGCTCAATTTGAGATAAAACTTAAAGAAAAGGAAAAAAGGGAAAAAGGGAAAAGAAATGGAAAAGAAGGGAAGAAAAATGGGTAGAATTTGAAGTATTTTAAGGGAGGGAAAGGCTAAAGAAGAGAGAGAAAAAGCTTCGTTTCCTTAAATCGCCTACACCAAAGGGAAAATTGTTCACAATCGTCTCGCTCCCGATCTCTAATGTTCTTTTATACATCAAATTTTCAGATTTTTTTATGTGATCAACAAATTTATAAGTAATAAGGGATTTTTTTTTGATTAAAGAATGGGTCCGAATTAGGTTCTTATTAAAGATCGATTCTTATTAAAACCAAATTAGCGACAGGAATCTAATTTGTTAATGAAATTTATGTAGAAATATCGTATTTCTTCGAATAGAAGACCGGGTAAAGAGTATCATCGCGTACTCCTGCGTAGCAGCCCTTTTTAAAATTTTTTTCTGCATAAAAGCTTTGAATGAAGTGCTATAGAGCTGGAAAATGGCTCAAAAATACCACATGAGCTAACAGATTTTTGAGCCATTTTTCAGCCCTATAGCACTTCATTGAAAGCTTTTATGCAGAAAAGAAATTTTAAAAAGGGCTGCTACGCAGGAGTACGCGATCATACTCTTTACCCGGTCTTCTATTCAAAGAAATACGGTAGATAAAGTAAATCGGTTTATCAATAATTCGTTCTTTCGTCCCAATCCTACTTCTGTATATAATTGGAGATAAAGAAATATATTGGAGCTTTTCGGTCTTGCATTCTTGTCTGGTTCCACTTTCGCGCTAAAGAATTTATACAGAAAATCCAGCCTGATGGGGTAAAAATTCGTCCAAAGGCTTTGAGCTGGGAGAGGGAGAGGGAGAGGGAGGTGCTGTGAGAGGCGGGGAACGCTCATTGACTGACTGTTTTACCCACTCGAACAAAGAAGCCCCTTATGCTAGCGTCCTATGCCAGATGGAGAGTGATTGTGCGCGCGCACAAAGAACACCTCATCGTCATTTACCCTTCTTAGTACAAGAAGAAGATATTTAGCTGTAAATTTGTACCTAGGGGTTTTCGAGGTCGGCGAATCGATTGAAGATCTTCATTTTATTGAGTCTACCAAATATTGAGATTATTCTGTTCCTATTTGCTGAAATATAAAATACTTCTACTGGATAAAAACCTAGCCAAATTCGAGGTCAAGAAAATAGTTCTCTTAGGCCTTTCTTTTTCTTTTCTTGACCCTGAAACTTTCCGTGTTTCCCCACAATTAGTCACTTGTTGTTTATCTTGATTCTCTTTCATCTTGATCTTGATTCTCACTATTCTCATGTAAGTTAAAAATAGTTTTTTCTTCTTTTCTTTGTTTTACTATAGTAAATTGGTTTTAAAAATTGAAACTTTGTTTTCTTTAGAATCTTTTTTATTAGATTTTAGATAGAATTAGAATCTGTTTTTAAAGCAATTATCTTTTAAATTTTGTTCTTGATAACTAAAAATCGGTCTCGAACAAACAAATTTTTTGAAATCCATAGAATCTCTTTCATTTTATTGTTCGCTTTTTGAATAAAACCGATCAGCAATCGGATTTTGCGTGAATCTCTTCAAAAAAACCACAAAAAAACAGTCACAAATATTTTTTGCTTTCTGCAAATTTTTGAATTCCGTCTAGGTAACACATTTTTTAGTAAAAATCGAAAAGTTTTTTTTGGTTTATATTTGGAATGTTTTTCAAAAATTACTTGCTATTTTTAGAATTAGAAATTAGAAACATATTTTGCTATTCTTTTCTATTTTTGCACAAACTTATGCTTTCTTCTTTAACGATCTTTACTTTTCCTTCGTTTCTTGGGGTTGGGACAAATGCGATTTTTTTTGCGCACCTGGACATTTGCGCACCTTTTTTTGCTGGAAAAGGCCTTAAGAAAGGTCGTAGAGCTTCAAAAATGTTTTCATACAAGGGAATCGTATGCGTAGATTCCGAATTTCGACAAATCAGACCTCGCTGACACGTCAAATTTGGGCTAAAAGGCAAAAGCTACGCAACTTAACGCTTTTCCGCAGTTTTTAGCCTTTTAGCCCAAATTTGACGTGTCAGCGTGGTCTGATTTGTCGAAATTCGGAATCTACGCATACGATTCCCTTATATGAAAACATTTTTGAAGCTCTACGACCTTTCCTAAGGCCTTTTCCAGCAATGGAATGTTTTTCAAAAGTACTTGTTATTTTTAGAATTAGTAATTAGAAATTGCTAAATTAAAAACATATTTTGCTATTCTTTTCTATTTTTGCACAAACTTATGCTTTCTTCTTTAACAATCTTTTCTTTTCTTTCGTTTATTTCGTTTATTTCGTTTCTTTTATGTTTTCTGAAAGATTCATTGAATTCTCTTGTATTTCAGGAGATGTCCTCCTCAACAAATGGGACTGAATCACTCGATCCAGGTGGAGGAAATGAAATATCGAGAAAATGGATGATTGATTCGTCTCTTCTTGATGATACACAACAGCCAACGGTCTTTGATCTATCCGAACAAAATGAGCAAGACTTTGGAGATCTTCTTCCGCCATCCGTTGTGGTTTGTTACTTTTTACTTTTTACACTTTTTACACTTTTTACACTTTTTACTCTAACTTCAATCTCATTCATTGCTCAATCTTCATTCTTTGCTTTCAGGAGATTCTCTCACAAACGAATTACTTCGGTTTACTTCTTGTCTTCATTCCGATCATTACGATTCTCGGGAATCTTCTCGTCATTGTCTCAGTGCTTCGATTTCGGGTAAGTAATTTTATCACGTATTTTAAGCTGATCAAATAGATTCTAAATAATAGACTATGCAAGTCATTTGGAAATATTTCGAAGTATAATATTTACTATACTGTGAAATAAAAATCCTTAACAATTGGTTAGTTTTCGTCATCTTTTTTTAACGATCTTTAACGATTTTTCTAAAAAAAACGCGCATAAAAGCAATTGTTAAGCAATTTGTTCTTAGAAAACGCGACAGATGAAAGATTAAAGAAAGATGACGACAATTTCAAGAAAATTAACCAATTGTTGAGTGTTTTTGCTTCGCAGTAGAATGATTATCATTATCAGATCATTATCATATCGGAATGATTATCATAATCAACTCAAATAGATTCTAAAAGTCCTTTCTTTTAGGCCCTGCACAGTGCGATCAATTTTCTGATTCTCGGCCTTGCGGTAGCTGATCTTCTGGTGGCACTTTTTGTGATGCCCTACGCTGTTTATGTACATGTGAGTTGAAAATTTTGGGGTAGGCTAGTTTCCGCAACTGGGTCGTTTGCGCAACTCGCCATAACTTTCTTCTAAGTGGACCAATCTTTATGATTTTTGTTTCATTTTGTAGATCTCAATAAGTGCAACAAAATGAAACCAAAATCATTGGTCCACTTAGAAGAAAGTTATCGCGAGTTGCGCAAAAAAAGTTGCGGAAACTAGCCTACCCCTCAATTTCAAATTGTCTCAATTGTCGCGTAGGCGTGACGGACAGACAGACGGACGTTTTATTTTTTGTATATAGTAGATTAACTAACGCGAGCTTTTTAGAATTTCTTAAAGAGTAATTTGTAAATAAATAATAGGACTTTTTGATAAAATAGATCAATTGGTTCATCATTTATTTAAAAAGTTATCTTTAAAAAAAGCGGACAAGACTTTTCGGTCAATCTAATAGGATAAAAGGTGCTAAAATGCAATGAAGTAAGATGTTAAAGATCAATTTGCACATTATTTGTTGGTGGGGGCAAAAAAAGAATCACGGAACAATAAACTCTTTCCTCTAGGTACAAAACGGTGAATGGTTTCTGGGAAATTTGATGTGTGATATTTACATGGCGAGTGATGTCGCCTGTTCAACTGCCAGCATTCTACTCTTGGCTGTCATTTCTTTTGATAGGTAAGATTGTAAGATGATTTTTATTAGAATTTATGTTGTTGAATTAGCGTTAGAATATTCTCTTTTTAGGTATCGAGCCGTTTCTCGTCCAATTCAATATTCACGACAAGCGCAAAACATCAAAAGAGTTTTTGTGATATTGGGCATTATTTGGATGATCTCTGTGCTGGTGGCAAGTCCAATGGTTTTGGGTGAGTTTTGAAAACATTTGAGAATTTTAGGATTTTGTTTGAACATCTTGAAAACATTTGAGAATTTTAGGATTTTGTTCTTGAAAACATTTGAGAATATTTGTAATTTTGATTTAATAAAGTAGAGTAAGGAATGAAAGAAAAAAGAAAGATTGCCGGAGAAGGGATTAAACCCTCGAGAGATACTTTAACCACTGAGCTATCGGGTACCTTCTCGTCAGAGAAGAAAGAGGAAATACAAGGGAGATACAATTCAGGCATGAACACTCGGCCGGCAAATGCGAATCCATTGGAGTGTCGGTTTTACAATGCGGCTTTTTCAATAGGGTCAGTTGATCTCTCATCTTTCTCATTCAATTTCTCTATCCCAATTTCAGTTCTTCAATCATTTCCTTTGTAATTCCTTGTGTTCTCGTGCTTTTCGTCTACATTCGAATCATGTTAGCGTTAAAGAAAAGAGAAAAAGCGGCAAAAATGAGACGGATAAGTCAACTGCAACAACACTCGACAACAAGGTGAAACAAAATTGATAGAAAACTTTTCTTAACATTTATAAATGTTAAAGAGATTCAGTACATGCAGTTTCATCACTCTAAATGTAGATTTATAAAATTTTCATCTAACTTGATAAGTTTGTATTTAAAAGTTACTTGCAAATGCAAAAGTTTGTTTGTTAGGATCCAAATGTACTAAAGATTTTGATTTAAAGCTAACTAAAGCTATCTAAAGCTATCTAAAGCTATCTAAAGCTATCTAAGCTATCTAAGTTATCTAAGCTATCTAAGTTATCTAAGCTATCTAAGCTATCTAAGCTACCTAAGCTATCTAAAGCTATCTAAAGCTATCTAAGCTATCTAAGTTATCTAAGCTATCTAAAGCTCTAAGCTATCTAAGCTATCTAAAGCTATCTAAAGCTATCTAAGCTATCTAAAGCTATCTAACTCGTTAATCTTACAAAGAAATTTCTTTTCAGTTCTGTACGACAAACTGGTAGTGGTGAAGAAGAGGAAGCGGGAAGAATTGTTGCGGGACCAGGTTCGGAAATGAATTTTTTAAAAAGAATCTTTCGAAATCTTCGCCCGTGAACTCTATGGGTTTCTTATTTTGAATTTCAATGAAAAGAAAAATACTTTAATCAACTCAAAATCGATCATTTGAACATAGAGTTCACGCCTCCGAACTCCCCTCTTTAACATAAGCCTTTTACTGCTTTTTGACTTGCTTTTTTTGTTGCAAACATTTTCGAAAGCTGAGGAATTTCTGGGTTGATTTTATTGAGCAACTTGCAAACAAAACCAAAAACAAACCAAGAAATTTCTCTGCAAAACTATCTCTAATTTTGCTTTTACTAATAGGAAAGACGAAAATTTACGTCAATTTTTACCCATTGTCGTCAAATTTTTACATTTTAAGCTTGCTTTTTTGATTTTAAAGTCCCTTGTGTAGTTATTGAAAACGCCAAAAAAACTGTTGTGAATTTGAATGTTCCAAAGTGATCAAAAGTTGTCTAAAAAGTTTAAAGCATTGGTTTATTGGTAGTAAAATAGCTCTGATTAAACGTTTAAGCGTACAATTAGTCATTTACTAAGCGAGTTTTCATCTTTTGGTGCAATTTGACCGATTAAGATGTGCTTTTGGAACAAATCTGGCGTATCGAAATGATTATGGGACATTTGATACGCGCCTCGCCCCTTTTCCCATCAGCAATTCAACTTTGAGCTCAAATTTCTTGGTGGTTGAGCTGTTCAATTTAAATAGTTTTTGTACCAATCGATAGAGAAAGACTTGGCAAATCTAATGATACCAAGAAAGTTTAAATTAGATAGCCCAACACCAAGAAATTTGAGCTTAAAGTTGGATTGCCAATGGCAAAGGGGGCGGGGCGACGGACCTTTTATACGCGCCCCGCCCCTTTGCCATTGGCAATTCACCTTTGAGCTCAAATATCTTGCTATTGACCTGTTCAATTTAAATAGTTTTTGTATGAATCGACAGAGAAAGACTTGGCGCATCTAATGATACCAGGAAAGTTTAAATTATACAGCTCAACACCAAGATCTTTGAGCTTAAAGTTGGATTGCCAATGGCAAAGGGGGCGGGGCGCGTCCGATAACCTATCAAAATCCGATCTTGTTAACATTGGAAACCACAGCTTTGTTTGGTTTTTCCCCAATTTCTCATTCATCTCATCCCTCCAATCCCCATTTTATTTTTTACAATAGTGTTTGTTAAGCAGTGAACGTGATGATGTTGGCTCTTCCATCGATGTCACGTCGAATGAGACGATACGAGAGACACCAAAAAGCAATTCAACAAGCAGGTCGTTCAAATCGATTGCGGAGTAGAGATTCGCGAAGAAAAGGAGCGAGGAGAAGATCCTCATCGAGAAGATTTGACGATGATGATGATGTGATGGATGAGATTGAAATGGAATTATTAGAGGGGGAAACACGAGACGATCAGCTATGGCACACGAGAGAGTCTCTTTGTGCCCCGATTCCCCCTCAACCACCGCTCTCAATTCATCTCTCATCCACAGCAACAGCTCCTTTGCCACTCGTCGCTCTACCTTCACTCCTAAGTACGTACTGTCGATCTAGAGAATCCTTTCTTGCACCCGATTTTTGAATAGACATTTTCATGATGGGTACTTTATGGTGAAAATCGAGAAACACACACTCTTTCTGGTGTCTAAAGAATTGAGTGTGCCAGAAAGAGTGTGTTTCTATTTTGTGCACTATCCATTGGGAAACATGTCTATTTTGAAGTGTTTATTGAATGCTTTGGATTTGAAACTTTAAAAAAAACTGATAAGGGCAACAATAGGCTAGTCCAAATGAGATAAGCCATAAGCAATTCGACGCGAAATTTCACGCTGATTCCGAATCTGTTTTCCGTTTTTGCAAAATCGCCTTCGATAAAAAGATCTAAGTGTTTCAAGCTTTAGGGTGAAAATTCGAAAATTTAAAGCCGAGCCTTTATAACGGTTTTCTCACGGGTCTCAAACGTGGCCCGATGGTATAGTGGATAGAACGCTCGCATACAAAACGAGCACTCCATTTTTTGCCTCGAGTTCGAATCCTTTTTGGGAAAAACTTTTGTTTTCCTTTTTGATGTTTTGGCTTATCTCATTTGGCCATATTCAATTGCCTTTTCCTTTTGAGATATTCTGGCTAAAGAATAGCAACCAGTGTTTTTGATAACAAAATAAGTGATAACTTATAAATTATATTTTCATCTCAATTTTCAACTTTCAATCAATTCCCAATTTAAAGTTTCAATTTCACAAAGCATTTCCTCAAAAACCTTTGTCAAGCTCGTTGCTTCGGCTTCCAAAAAAAGAATTGGCGATCAGCTAACATGTGTGATGTTTCGAGCTTATTAACAATCTTTGTGTCGCAAGAAAATCGGTAAATTTTGTTTTTAAAAAGATAAAACAATAATAAAATAGGATTTCTGCATGGGACTGAGCAACTTTTGCAATGAATTTGCATGCAAGCATGTTAAAATTAACAATTGCAAAAAAAACGTTTAACAATGAATTTATCGCAGATTCGTTTATCAATATTTTAAGGCTTCAATATTAATATAAGTGAGCTTTATCAATCAATATTGATATAAGTGAGCTTTTTTTTTGCTTTTCTAATCAAATATTGATAAACAAATCTAAAAATCGAATTTCCAATTCGATTTTGAACTCTCATTTTTAGATGAAAGAGATATTGTCGGTCAACAAGAAAGAACGTCATCAACTCCTCGGTCATCCGTTGATTCCCTTGATGAAGATAATCATGTTGTGACGAATGATTTTGTGTCTGATGTTTATACAAATATTTCAAGGTCAGTCTTTCAATACCAATCAATAATAGGCTACTTTTGTGTTATCTGGAAGGGGAGATTTCCCCCGCAAATTTTTGATTTGATTTTAGAAAGCTTGCAGCCAGGGCTAACCCTGATTTCCCTACGGCTGAGGTGAGTTTCGCACCTCTACTTTGGTACCTAAATACAAGGCGCTTAAAATCTCTGGTACGAAAGTAGTTTCGGCACGAAACGCACCTCAACCGTAAGAGAATCAGGCTTAGCCCGGGTGCTGTAATGCAAAAGCTGCTCTAATCCAAAACTTTAGACATTCTTCGGATTTCCACGACTCATCGGGCACACAATCGGGTGAATCGGCCGAGAAAAAAGCTCGTCGATCACCGAGAAGATTTCAGTGAGTTTTGAATGATTTAAAGAGGCGGCGGCCGGATTGGGATCGATTATCACTAAAATCCAATTCTCTTTATTTAACGGAACATAAAATTTATAGAAAATTACAGCCAAATTTAGAGCAAAAAATTATTCCCAAAAATTTTGGCCTAGTTCTTAGTCTTACCCTCGAGTTTTACCCTCGAGTTTTTCAAAAGTTAAACTCTTACCCTCGAGTTCAAAAAATGATTTATGTACCAGTCGATTGGAAAAAAAAAATTAGCTATCCGAATCTGGTGTTCAAACTTGCTTTTGGGGCTTTAGAACGGAAATATTCGAGGTCAAAGTTGGTGAATTTTGACAGCTTTTCTCGAATTTCTGGCACACTATTTTCGGAAAAGTTATTGCAAGTTATTGCCTCTCTTTGCGTCCTGCCTTAAAAGTGAGCCCGTAGCCTAGTGGATAGTGCGCTTGTCCGCAAAACCTTTTTTGGGTGGGTTCGATTTCCGTGCTTGCAACTTTTTTTGTTCCGTAAAAATTCGATTTCTTGGGCCATTGTTGGACTTCGGCGGTTGAGGCACTTCCATCGGATGGCCTTGGATTGGGCCCCCCAATCCAAGGCCATCCGATGGGGGCCACGGGTCCCTGGTGTCATTCCCTCGTCGGCCACCCACCACTTCGTCCCGTTTACGCATTCAAAAAGGAAAGCCTTCTTATACCAGAGTCCTTTGCCAGGTGGTGAGCGATTGTGCGCGCGCACAAAGAACACCTCGCTATTCAATTACATAGGGGTTTTTCTTTTGGATTATAAAGGGTAAAAACGGAAATATTAATCTGTAAATTTGTACCCAAGGGTTTTCGAGATTAAAGGATCGATTGGAGGTATTCATTTCATCCATTTTATTGAGTCTACCAATTGGAGTTTGGGTTTAATTGTAAGCTGAAATCCTGAAAAATCAGCTTTTATTTTTGAATTTATTCAAAAACAAAAAAACAAAAAAAAACAAAAAAAAGTTTTAGAAATTTGGCGCGAAACTATTCGATAAAAATGAGGCGAAAATCTGTCTCCGAAGACGGACTCAATTCAACGAAAAGGCAAATGGCTGGATCGTTTTCGTTGTGAGTTCCACGAGCATTTTTGTTCCGAATCTGAATATCTGAAACGAAATTCCGAATCTTTCGAGAATTCTGAATCTGAAACGAATATTTTTTCTTCATTTAAATGAGTTTTCAGATCATCAAAGAGTGAGCTGATCCCATCAATTATTCGACAACTCTCAATGAGAAGTCCGAGGATATTTCGAAGTTCGAAGTTGGCCTCGAAAAACTCACCGGTAAAGCGAATTCAAAAAGAAATGACATTATTTTTTTAAATAACTCAATAATCTGCCAGGTTGTCCTCTCAAATCCCTCAGCTACAACAAAATCTGAAGGAAATGGAATGGAAAAACTCGATTCACATCAAATTTCGACATCTGATTCTGAGCCATTAACAGGAAATAATAAAGTGAAGTGAGCTATTCGTTTTCTTAACTCTTAACTATTATTCTATTGTTATTCTAGAGATTATTATAAAAGTCTCTTGCAAAAAGGCAGTTAAACTTTAGACCAGCTCCTCTATCAGAAGGCGTTCAGAATACCTCTTTCTCGAGATCGACAACTGTCAATAGTGAGTATTTAGAGCGATCTTTTCTTGCATTTATTTACACGAATAATTTGTACAAATAATACACAAGCATAAACCCTAAATGTAGGGAAAAAGAACAAAAAACGTAGCTGGCGGGATTGAACCCTTGACCTCTCGACCAACCTCTGACTGGGCTCTTAGCCAGTCGGTCATGACGGCAACCGAATCCGGGCAATAAATTTGAGTTAACCCCCTCTGGAGTAAGGGAAATCAAGTGCGTTTTGGTGTATTGGTTAGCACAGTTGTAAGCTAATTACAGGTAAGCCAAAGGTCGCGGGTTCGAGTCCCGGCGCCGCACAAGTTTTTGATCTGCCCTAGTTCCAACTTTTGAATCAGATTGTGAATTGTAGAGCAATTTTCAGGTGAACTTCTTGGATCACCTGAACCCCTTGATGAAGCCGTGAAAAGCCCATTCATTATCGAGAATCAAACAGCACTCAACAAGGATGTGAGCACTTCGGATGAAAGTCAGGTTTGTAAGTTGAAAATTTTCAACTTTTAAAATATTGATCATACAAATAACGGCAAAAATAGCCTCTCCACGGTTGTTTTTATATTTTTTTTAGTCATTGATTACAGAATAAAATTAACTACATTTTGTATACTTTGAGATCATTCCAATACGGTTCTTTTTAGTTCCAATACTGTTCCAATACGGTTCCAATACGGTTCCAATACGGTCCCAATACGGTTCCTATTTTGATCTAATTCGGTTCCAATATGGTTCCAATACGGTTCCAATACGGTTCTTTTCAGATCCAATCAGATCCAATACAGTTCCAATCCAAGGTTCCATCACTTAAAACAGAATTGGTGTCAAGAAAAGCTCAGTTAACCGCTTTTTGAGCCTTTTCTCGTTTTTTTTGGCATTTCCTCATCCCAGCTTTGTTCTAAACGGTTCCAAAAATTCAGAAAATAGCTAATTTTTGAATTTCGATATTCAATGAAAATAAGTAACACAAATAAAGAATGATTTTGATCGGCGCTCTTTCGAAAAGCTTTCCATTTAACGACTACGCGACTTTACTCACAAAAATCCTTTTTTTCGCGAATTTTTTACATCAAAATACTCTGTAAATTTGGAACAAAAGTATCAAAAATTTTTGATTTCAGCCAACAGTGACCTTTTCGATGACAGTTCGTGCAAAAGCCGCTTCACCGAGTCAACCTGAAGAAGATACTCGATTAAAAGTAAAGGAAATATAAAAAGACATTTATCGATTTTACTCTTTCATTGTTTCACTTTTTGTTTTTTTGATTTCAATTTCAGGAATTTCAGGAATGCTACGATGAAAGACGACGAAGAAGTGAGGATATTGTGCGGATATTGACAAGAAATGTTCAACAAGGTTCGTTGAAATTTTGTTGATGATTTTGTAGATGAGTTTGTAGATGAGTTTGTAGATGAGTTTGTAGATGAGTTTGTAGATGATTTTGTAGATGATTTTGTTGATGAGTTTGTAGATGAGTTTGTAGATGATTTTGTTGATGATTTTGTACATGATTTTGTAGAGTTTGTAGATGGTTTTGTAGATGATTGTAGATGATTTTCTAAATGTTCCTGTCGAGAAATCTCATCAGCTTGATCGGCTTGATATTTCGATTTCAGACAAGAAAGGACATCCGCCACAATTGCCTCGTTTGGATTCAATGTTGAGTGCATCAGATAAAAGTCGAAGTCGGAATAACTCGCTGAAATCGATCGATTCGAGGAATCAATCTGTAAAAAAGGTTCGTTGTAAAGATGAGTAAATAGCCAAGAGAAATTGATTTTTATAAACCCAATCTATTCAATTCAAATCCTTCCCAAATTCAAGTATGAGCTGCGAAACTGGATGTCACGTTTTAGGAAAGAGATTTCGTTTGTTAATTTGTGCCTAGACATTGCTCGTAACGAGCTCGTAATCCATCATTTAACTTGTTTTTTAAAACGTAAATTCTCTAGGCCATGCCAAGACTTTATTTCTCTATTTTTCTAGCTTCTCGTAGTGTCAATCAGTCAGATGGCTGTGACCGAAATGGTGCAAGTAAAAACACAACAATTTGTGATTTTTTTTTGCTTTTACTACCCTCGGCTTGTTAGGCGAATGTCTTGACCATATTTCTTCGAGATTATTGCCGGTAATGGAATTATTCATTTTCAGAAAAGCAACGGCGGTTTGGCACAGCGATTGGTGAAAAGAACGATCAAACATGAACAAAGTTTGAAGAGAAAAGTTCGTTTTTTTTGGAAAGAGAAAAGAAAATATCAGTGTTTTCAAATATGTTTTGGTACATGTGACTTTAACCGATGCAATACATACCGATTTCTCAATTTGCATATGGTTTGCATCAGCCAAAGTCTAGTCAGAAGGACACTAACGTTCTTGTGACTCTGGTCCTTGTGACTCTGGTCCTTGTGACTCTGGTCCTTGTGACTCTGGTCCTTGTGACTCTGGTCCTTGTGACTCTGGTCCTTGTGACTCTGGTCCTTGTGACTCTGGTCCTTGTGACTCTGGTCCTTGTGACTCTGGTCCTTGTGACTCTGGTCCTTGTGACTCTGGTCCTTGTGAAAAACTCGTACTCGTTACTCGTATTCACGATTTTGTGGTTTCGGATGTTTTTAAGACGCCAACCTTGGCCTTTTATTCTTATTGATTATGATTTCCGCGCTCTTACAATCACCTTGACCAAATTGAACACCTTGAACACCTTGAACACCTTGAACAACATGACCTTGAACAAAAAAATTACGCCGGTTAGAGTCACATGTACCTACGTTTTTTTGTTCAGGTGTCGAAGAATCAACGTAAAGAGAAAAGAGCCACGAAAACTTTGGGAATCGTCGTGGGGATTTTTTTGATTTGTTGGGTTCCCTTCTTCACAATCAATATTCTCAACGCAATCTGTGATGTTCTCAACAAACAATCGTGTCAGGTGAGACAACTAAATAAAGCAAGAACAAAACAAGAACAAAACAAGAACAAAACAAGAACAAAACAAGAACGAAGCAAGAACAAAACAAGAGCAAAGCAAGAACAAAGCAAGAACAAAAAAAGACCAAAGCAAGACCAAAGCAAGAACAAAACAAGAGCAAAACAAACAACTAAACTAAAGAACTAAACAACAATATATGCTAGTTCAATCCTTCAATCTTTCAAAGAAAGATTGATTGTTTAAAAAGATAGAAAACTGAATGAGGTCGATTTCAATTTCAGGTCGGCTTTGGTCCATTTTTCTATTCGACATGGGTTGGCTATATGAATTCATTCATGAATCCGATTATCTACACAATTTTCAATACCGAATTTCGACGAGCTTTTAAATCGCTAATTTTTGGGCGAAATTCTCGACACGCCTTTCATCAGCGAGGACAAAGAGGAGCGAATGTTTAGATTTTTAAAAAAATTCATTTAAATCAAAATTAAAATTAAAATCCATTTTCCTTCTCATTTCATCTTTTTAATAGATAAAGAATAGATATTTAATTGAAAAAGAACTATTGAAGGGGGTGGGACAAATACGACCTTTGTTTTGCGCACCTGGACATCTGCGCACCTTTTTTTTGCTGGAAAAGGCCTTAGGCAAGGCCGTAGAGCTTCGAAAACATTTCGAAAATATTTCCATATAAGGGAATCGTATGCGTAGATTCCGAATTTCGACAAATCAGATCTCGCTGACACGTCAAATTTGGGCTAAAAGGTAAAAACTGCGGAAAAGGGTTAAGTTGCGTAGTTTTTGCCTTTTAGCCCAAATTTGACGTGTCAGCGAGGTCTGATTTGTCAAAATTCTGAATCTACGCATACGATTTCCTTCTATGAAAACATTTTTGAAGCTCTACGACCTTTCCTAAGGCTTTTTCCAGCAAAAAAAAGTGCACAAATGTCCAGGTGCGCAAGAAAAAGGTCGCATTTGTCCCACCCCCGGGGATTGGGGCTTAAAGGTAGCCCCATTTCTTTCTCTTAAGACTTGGAAAGACTCTTGCAATTAGGAAGAGAATTTGCCATAAGAGAATGCGCTAATCGGCTAAGTGCGGAAAAAAAGGTGCGCAAATGTTGAGGTGCGCAAAAAAAAAGGTCGCATTTGTCTCACCCCCCTATTGAAAAGTTCAGTTTCTAGAGCTTTTAATCTTTTAAAGAAACTTTTCTATAACATTGCCATTCCCGAACAAATTCCCCTAATCACCGGTGCTCTTTTTTGGTTGTTTAATAATTGAATATCTTTATATTTTAATGATTTCTATTATGTACCTCATTTGCTTTTTAATTTCATGATTTCATTTTTGTGTCATCTTTCAAATTTGCCATTTTTCTACGGGTTTCTCAAGCTTTTGCATCCCACAAAAATCTCATTTCATTTTCATTTTCATTTTCATTTTCATTCTTTTTCTCGAACAAAAACGGGCCATTTTATTTACCATTTGTCATATTGAACATGAAAAATAGCTCTTTATGAAGATTTATCTTCATAAAGATTGCTATTTATGAAGATTTATTTATATTTATTTATATTTATTCTATCAGAGATATTCCTTTCGATCATCTTTCTTCAAAGAGCTTTTATTCAAACATTTTACTTTCATCAATTTTCTTTTCAATGCCTAAATTTAAACCAATCAAATTCTTTATAGAGATTTATTGATTTTTGTTAGGGAAATCTTGGAATAAAGATTTAGAGTGAAAAAGATGAATTGGACTTTAGTTAAAGGCAGACAAAAAGAATAGGAACAGAATGATCTCGATATTTGGTAGACTCAATAAAATGAATATCTGCAATCGATTCGCCGACCACGAAAACCCCCGGGTACAAATTTACAGCTCAATATCTTTTTCTTGTACCAAGAAGGAACCAAGAAGGGTAAATGACGATGAGATGTTCTTTGTGCACGCGCACAATCCCTCTCCATTTGGCATAGAACTCTAGCATAAGGGGCTTCTTTGTTTGAGCCCGTGAACGGGACGAAGTGGTGAATGACCGATGAGGGAATGACACGAGGCCTCGTGACAGGTTGGGGCATGGGTCCCCTCGCGAGGGGACCCGTCCCCCCCCCCAATCCAAGGCCATCCGATGGAAGTGCCTCAACCGCCTTTCCGAACAACAACCTCAAGTTGAATCGGAGGAGCACCAGCGACCACCAACAAAAAGAAACGAGAAAAACGAAGGAAAATCGCGAAAAGCGACGGAAAGGCTATTGATCTGAGGGTCACTGGTTCGACTTCCACCGGTGACAATATTTTTCAAAAATTTTTTGCTAAGATTCTGAAAATGCGTGTCTAGGGGTTATTTTTGACGCTGATCACGAAACCCATGTTTTTAGCCTAGGTTTCTGCACGGAAAACTAACGAAACGTGAAAACAGCCATTTTTTGGCTCTGCTGCCCTTTACTAAAATAGCTGTAAAAACTTTTAGAAAAGAGATATCTCAAAACGGTTTTTACCAATCGATTCGTCTTGAATTCAGCTTTAGGATGAGCTATAAAACGTCTAAATTGGACAAATTTAAGGTACTCTCCCAAAAAATCGGAAAGAACTTTTCCATCAACCCAATAAATGAGACTTCAGGAATCTTCTAATACTAGTGAATTCTAATACTACAATTTGACGTCGAATAGTCGAATATTTGACGTGATCAGTCGCCAGGGACAGACAACAAAATATTAAACTGTTATTGTTATAAATAAACCTTGTTATCATAAAAATTGAACAAAAATGCAACAACGACACCAAAATTTGGGGGGTGGCGTATGGTTTTGCACCGGGTGAATTTTCGTTTTTTTGGCTGTTACATTTTCCCTATTCATGCTATGTCGATGATTTTTCGGGTTTAAGGGTTATTTTTGGTCCTGAATCTAACTACGTTTTCAGTTTTTTTGTCACTGGCACTGAAGCCTCAGAAAATTGAAATTTAGGGGGTGGCGTATTGGTTTTGCACCGCACTGTAGTTTGTTTGAAATAAAAAATATTGGTGTAATCTTAAAACCTGTATTCGAAACTCCACAAAAACTAGAAACATAAGCAATCACATAGACAAATTAAACGCTTAAATAGAAATATTATGCAAAGATATGTGTGAGAAATCTTCGAAATTTTGGTAGAAATAGGTAGGAAGAGATTCGAAATGTCAAAAAAAAAGAAGTCTTTGGCCATTTTGAAACAAACTGTCTGTTCTAACAAAAAGACATCAAAAAAATCTCTCTATAAAACTCTATGAAAAACCGGGAAGAATACAATAAGCTTCAAGAGAGCAAAGAATCAAATAAAGACACCAAACACCGATAAATGTGAATGCGGCGAGGTATTTGCAGCGAACTGGACCGCCCAATTCACCTTGAACTCCCTTGTTGAATCTGAAAATCGATCGATTTTTGATAAGAAGTCATCTTTATGAGTAGATACCGTAAATACTGTAATAGTACCCCACCCGCGTAATGACGGTGCGGAGCTCTAGCTTTGAACAAGTTTTTCTCGACACTGGTTTATGCTACAATGCGCGCTTAGGTATCAAAAAATAGCCCTGAATTTCAGCTATTTTTTGATACCTAAGCGCGCATTGTAGCATAAACCAGTGTCGAGAAAAACTTGTTCAAAGCTAGAGCTCCGCACCGTCATTATGCGGGTGGGGGTACTATTACAGTATTTACGGTAAGTGCATTTTTGTGCACTTGAATCTTTACAGAGAATTTCATTGTGACTTCTCAAGAACGTTCAACTCAATCAAATTTCACCTTCTGAACTGCAAGATTGCGATGCAAATCACTGATCCGACAAGGAAAAGTGACACCGAAAAGGCAAGAGCTCCCGCTTGTACTCTGAAAATATTCAAAATCTCGTCCATTTATATGTCTTAAGAAATTAAGAAACCATTCTCTCCCTTATCTCCCTTAGGATTCATCTAACAATAGCCGAACACAAACCCTAAATGTAGAGGAAAGAAAAGACCTTTTCCAATATTTCCCAAAAAATATCGAAAAAATGAGTAATCCAACCGGCGGGATTGAACCCTCGACCTCCCGACTGTGATACGAGGCTGTTAGCCACTCGGCCATGACGGTCATCCGCCCTTCGTGGCCAATGTGTTAAAGAATGCTTGGGTTTCAAAAACAGAAACGCAACGGCAGAGTTATTGAGCACATTCGTGACGATACGAATGATTGTAGCCATGGCCGACTGGCTAAGAGCCTTGGAGCTAACACCAGAGGTCATGGGGGGTTCAATCCCACTAGCTGCATTTTTGTTTCTTTTTTGCCTAGATCTATGGGATTTTTCCCTACATTTTGGGCTTACGCTTGTACTTGTACTTTACTTGTACTTGTATTCATTGGCTTTACTTGTATTCATTGTACCATATTATTCATCTGAATAAATGTATTTTTAATGTTTGAACTTTTATCCGGCCCATGGAACTCACTCAAAAACGGTGCCATTCCACGCGTGATAGACGGCGGCGATCATCCAAGCGATTCCAATACCTGCACTTTTCATTTCAAATGAATCCAGGAACTTGATGAAAGTGATTTTCAAAGAATCAAGTGCATTTGTGTTTTCAATTCATTTCTTGAAGCTTTTCAAAGTGTCACCTAGGAAAACGTTGACAGCATTTGATCCGGTGACATTTCCGATCGACGAATCCGCATATTTATCCTGGACAGCGGCTGTCTTTGAAGCAAATGTGTCTGGAATTTTAGAGGATTAAACAATTTGTGCCCAGGAAAGAGTTTAACTAGAGAAAGGTAGCTGAGCTTTGCCTTTAGCTTTAGTTCAGCTCAAGGTGAGCTTTATCTGGACACTATTTTATAAAATTGGGTATGAGAGTTCGAATCTGGAATCAAAGTCGGCCAAATGACGCAAAAACAGAAAGCTGCATCAGGGACCGAACGTTGACCATGGAAGTCTAATGCATTATCCATAGACTTGTGTTTCGGTTGGCTCTTTTCGGTTCAGTTTCGGTTTCGGTTCAACCGAAGTCAACCGAAATCTTCGGTTCGGTTGAACCGAAAAGATGAGTTTTTCGGTTCGGTTCAGTTTCGGTTCAACCGAAAACTGAGTTTGTCGGTTCGGTTCGGTTTCGGTTGACTCAAATTTTTAGCGATTGTAATTTGAAATATCATATTTGACAATGAAATATCATATTTGAAAAAAGATCGTCACTTTCGCTCTGTATCTCCCTTGTCTTTGAGTTTAAACTATTAGTGTTATACATTTTCTGAAAGCTCTTTTCATGGGCTACACAGTGGCATATATTAATATTTAGAAATACGGTAAAGACAAAGGAGTTACAGACGCGCGAAAGTGACGATCTTTTTTCAAATATCATATTTCATTGTCCAGCAGTTTAAGTTTGAACAGTTTATACCTATGGCAAAACAAATGAAAGCAAACAAACAAAATGGTGCAAGTAAAGACAGAAAAAGTGAAGAATGTTTTTTTTGAAAAACAATTGCGCAATTGCAAAAAAAAATCGAGGAAATATAAAACGAACTTTGTTGCAAAATGCTTTTTATCTATTTACTGTCAAGTTATTCAGCCTAACCAACTGAATATTCATGCAAAAATAAAAAAAACAGAGTTTGGCGTAATTCGCATAAATTTATTGCGTTTTGCATTGGTTCACTTTATCGCACGTTATCGAATTTCGGTTCGGTTCGGTTCGGTTCAACCGAAAAGATGATTTTTTCGGTTCGGTTCGGTTTCGGTTCAACCGAAAAGATGATTTTTTCGGTTCGGTTCGGTTAACCGAAAAACCGAAACCGAAACCGAACCGAAAAAGAACGTTTCCGTTTCAACCGAAACACAAGTCTAATTATCCATTAGACCACCAAAGTACCTTTTTTCCGCTAGAAAGGATGCTTTTAAAGCATCCGTTTAAAGCAAGTTTTAACGACAAACTTTCGCTTGAAGTTTTACACGTCTGGAAAGTCATTTAGCAGATTTTGATTTCAGATTCAGATTCCTCATCCCCGATTCTGTAAAGTGCACTGGATGTCCAGACAAAAGCTCACTTTGAGCCTTTCCCTAGTAAGAAATTCTCCTTACCAGGCACCGATGTTCCCATGGCCACAAGAGAGATGGCTGTCACTGAGTCTTTCAATCCAACTGTGCACCCGAAATGAGCAGCTAGATCCTAAAAGTTGCATGTTTAGTTTTCTTTGATTTTTGGATTGAAAGCGTTTCCTTAAACTCACCCCAATCACCGCCGTGAGAAGACCGATGAAGAAGATTGAGAAAAAGAAGCAAATCCAACCTAGAAATAGTAAAATATATTCAAGAATAGCTTGATTTTCGTATCAGCCATTGGAGAATCTATGATATATAAAAGAGTAGTGTCTGTCTGTCAGTCTGTCTGTCTGTCCGTCTGTCTGTCAGTCCGTCTGTCTGTACGCGTCTGGTTCCCCATAAACCGAGCCATGAAAAAGAAACCTCTAGCATAATCTGTTGGTGGAATCAAGGCGAACAATAATTTCCATGGAAGAGAAATATAATGAAGAATTTTCTCTTTTGTCGAAATGTCACCATCTTCATCTAAAAAAATAAAGATTTAGATGAGAAATATTTGTTTTAATTTTTTGTTTCAATTTTTTTGTTTCAATTTCAATTTCAATTCTTACCCAAATCCTCGACTTCAAGAGCATCTTTGAATTGTTGTTTCCACGTCGATGTACCCACCAACACAGAGATTTTCCCATCCATTAACAGTTTCTCGAGAGCATTCTGAAAAACTTTTGAAGTTTAAAACAGATTTCCTTTGTTTTTCACAAGGCTATTAACCAAGATCGGCAAGAATTATCGCCAAGAAAACTGTCGCTTATTGCTTGGAAAACTTTGTTTAATGCTCTGTTTTATCGAATCGAATTTGTACTGTTAAAAAAGTTATCGAAATTTTAGTGACAAGCGCCAGAAAACAGAACGCCAAATGGCAATAACTATTGCTTTTTATAAAAAACGAAATATAAGCACAACTATGAAGAATTCTAAGCCTAAGAAAACTAAAAATTGTAAATCGGTTTATGGGGAACCAGACGCGTACAGACAGACGGACTGACAGACAGACACTGCTCTTTTATATATCATAGATTCTCCAATGATTTCAATCACTCACATGAATCTCTTTATCTTCAATGATGATCACTTTGCATCGTGGATGATCTCCAAGAAGTGGTCGACCCTCAGCTCCTTCCTAAAATGATTTCAAATTCGACAAATCTTTAAGAACAAAAAACAACAACTAAGTCAACAAAAAGTCAGTGCGAAGAAGTGAAAAAAAAATTGTGAAATCGAGTAAAACACCTAAAAAAATTCACAAATCGGCGTGTAACCAAAAATATTTTTTGACGCAAGAGCACAAAATTGACAAAGGAGATCGGTGGGCATGCATTGGGGATTAGAATAGTTTCCTCTCAAACAGTTTTAAGTGAGAGGATCACAATCTATTGGATTGGCTGATAAGTTTTGGAAATTTCATTTGAAAAGCTGCTAAGAACCAATTCATCTTTTTATCTACGGTTTACTCCATTAGAAAAGCCTAATATTTCTCTATGAAATATCGTTAAAATCTTAAGAAATCTTTTGTTTTTGGTCTTTTGTGAGGTAAGTCAAAAATGGTGACGACTCGATTACACGTTTTAAACACTTTCGTCTAAAGAAACCAACTTCGATGTTAATAGAAAAAAGAAAGAGCTCAAAAAGTTGAGTTTATAGTCAAATTTTTAGAGCAACCTGTTCAGCCGATTTCTTTGTAAAGCTTTGTAAAGCTTTACAGAGCTTTGTAAAGCTTTATAGAGCTTTGTAAAGCTTTGTAGGGCTTTGTAGAGCTTTGTAGAGCTTTGTAAAGCTTTGTAAGAGCTTTGAAAACGAGTTTTTGTACTCGAATTTACCCGGAAACAGACTGAAATCGGCTTGAAATGAAAGAAAAGTGAATGCTGAACATATTCGATTTGAAACAAATCGTAGATCAATTGGTTAGCTTTTCATTTATAAAGAGATTTGTCCAAAACCTATCGGTGAATCCAATAATTGGAGATGAGTCGAAATACCAGTCAAATCTTTTGATCTGATATACCGTATTTTCTCTAATAATAGTGCACCCTGAGCATCCCCTAAATTGCTCGAAATCTCGAAAACCGCTTATCAGAACCTATCGATGTGGGGTCGGAAAATGTAGCTGACGATGAGATCTAGTGGGGGATTTGAGTGTTGAGCTTCTGCAAAAGCTTGGAAACCGTAAAATAGTCACCAACTCGGCTCGCCAAGGTGCACCAGAATTAGAGAAAATACGTTAATTCGAATTTCATAAATCGGTGAACCTGATCGGTACTCGATTCAAATCCCATCTTTTCCCGTCTATTTTTCGTCAAAAATACCTCATTTCTATCTTTCGATCGTCTACGCCGTTTCGGACGTTCAGGCTGTATCACTATTGACTGCAAAGAAAAATGGGAGAAATGAAAAACCTCTCCAATCAAAAGAAAATCGCGGAAGTGTTATTTCATGACATTTGGTAAAAAAGGGTGATTGAATTGAAGATGAAAATCGTTTCTTATGACTCTTAGGCTCACTTTGTCACTTAATTTGGATTTAAAGTTGACCACTTTACCCAGAATAATATCATTTTCGTTTAAAAAAAGCTATTTTTCATTTAGTTCTCTGAACTTATCGCAAAGAATAGAAATAAGTCTAGCTATTGATATGATAATAGTGATCTGTAAAATGAGTTAAAAGATTGAAAATGGAAGGCCAAAGAGTCACAAGTACCGAAAATCGATGTTCATTTTAAAACTGACTCCTTCTTGGATGTTGTGCCAGATCGGTTCACCGAGTTCAATGTAAAATTCCTCATTTTTCTCATACTCGATATCGTTCACGATCTCGACGACAATTTCGCCTCTAGAAATGGATTCAAATAACTCTTAGAATAACCCTTTGAACTGCTTTACTTTAAAAAAAACTTTACTTTGTCTGTTCATCATCAAACTCCAATAAGCCCTCGGTGTGTTTGTAATCTCCGGGCGATTTCGCGGCTCCGTCAATCGTTTTGTATGGAATTGAGACCTTTCCTCGAGCTCCACGAGTGCGAAACACCTGAATAGTTTTTTTTAAAGCTTATACATCTTCTACATCATCTTTAAAGCTTCAACAGGGTACGCCGAAAGCTCTGCTAGGCTTAGGCTTAGGCTTAGGTTTAGGCTTAGGCTTGGACTTAGTGCGAAGGCTAGCGGCTAGCGCCTCGCACTAAGTCTATTTGGGTTTGGGCTATACCCCCAATTTCCGGATCTCAGCCCGCTCCCGGAGCTAAGGCACACCCGCTTGGCGATCCTCATGCGCCCCCCATATTAGGCTTAGGTTTAGGCTTAGGCTTAGGCTTAGGCTTAGGCTTAGGTGATTGAATTGAAGTTGAAAATCGTTTCTTATGACTCTTAGGCTCACTTTTTCACTTAATTTGGATTTAAAGTTGCCCACTTTACCCAGAATAATATCATTTTCGTTTAAAAAAAGCTATTTTTCATTTAGTTCTCTAAACTTATCGCAAAGAATAGAAATAAGTCTAAAAATATGTCCAATAGTACCGAAAATCGAAAATCGATAATCTGAGCCTAAGCCTGAGCCTGAGCCTGAGCCTGAGCCTAAGCTTATACATCATCTTTAAAGCTTATACATCTTCTACATCATCTTTAAAGCTTCAACAGGGTACGCCGAAAGCTCTGCTACCTTCTCACCGAATGCATGTCACGTAAACTTGCCAAATTTACATAAAATCAAACAAGAATTACAAATTAGAGTTTTTAACAACAATATAGATTAAAACAAATGACATTAAATGCTCGAAATGCTGGATGCTCGCCTCCAGAATGGTTCGAGGTTTTTTCTGCCCAGAGTCTGCCTCTTCCTTTTTCTTTTTTGAGGAAATGATTTAAAATATAAAACGGCAAAAGATATAGATCATACAATAAAGGTAGCAGAACTGGCGTGCCCTGTAAACTGTAAACAGAACTGTACTGTAAACAGAACTGTACTATAAACTGTAAACAGAACTTATTTCTACAAGCATACCTCAGCAATGAAAACACCATTCGTTTCGGGGACTTTGAATTTCTCGGTGTTGAAGCCGAAAGCTCCGGCGTGGTCATCGTCAACTAAAATGCGGAAAGAAAATGAATTGCAAGTTTAATGCAAATATCGATTGGTCACAGATAAGAAAGAAGTAAAGGAATTGGCAAGGAAAAGTAGCTAAGACAAAAACTCACCGATGAGTACAGTAGCCTGAGCAGCGGCACCCAATCGCACGGGAACTGGAGCGTTGTTCAGACCCCAAGCACGTACCTGAGTGAGTTTTAGAATGAAACCACTCAGAAATTTGGTTTCTTTTTTTTAGAGATCTGATCAGATCTGACTTTTTGAGATCACCTGTGACAATCGAACCAAGAACTGCTCATCATCTTCATAAACATCATTGTCCACAATGGCTACTTCGATTTGTTGGCTGAATTTCTCTTTTTAAGTGAAAACTTACCGTAAATACTGTAATAGTACCCCACCCGCATAATGACGGTGCGGAGTGTTACGTAGTCTAGCTTTGAACGAGTTTTTCTCGACACTGGTTTATGCTACAATGCGCGCTTAGGTATCAAAAAATAGCCCTGAATTTCAGCTATTTTTTGATACCAAAGACGCATTCTTTGAAAGTACGGGCGCTTTGAAAAAAATGAAATACTAAAAATACTAAAAAAATTTTGCGACTACGTGACTGTACGAGGGGGTGGGGGTGGGGTACTATTAAAGTATTTACGGTTAGGTATTCGCATTGATCTCTCACCTCGTCACTCCGGCTTTAAATGTGAGTGTTCCTTGGGTTGCGATGAAATCCGATTCCTCTTGCGCTGTATCAGCGACCGTTTTATAGGCCACTGAGACTGTGGAATTCGGATCACAAAGGCCACGATCGCATTTTACCGTCAACTAAATTGCGCAATTCGCTAGCGTTCGCTAGAGTACAAGAATGGTAATCATCATAATCATAGAATTCTTAAAATCATGCAAATCTTGAATCTTGAATCTTGAATTTCATTTCTCTCACTCACAAAAGCCACTCTTGGCATTGTTTCTAATTTTCGAGGAGATTCCGATCGGCATCTCTATTTTGAATAAAGCTTTTCTTTTACAAAAACGATACTGAAACGATACTATTGGGTTGGTGAATTGAAAACTAAACTAAAATGACTAAAATGAACTTTGAACTAAAATTTATTGAACATAAAACCATGAATTCATTCGAAATAATTTCCATTATTATTGACGACTTCTGCCCATTTTACAGGCAATTTGCGGATTCCTCTTTCGTAGTAGGATTTTGGTTTGTTTGTGAGACAAGTGTGAGACTCAAAAATCGAGGACCGGAGATGTCCCAGTGTCCCAGTTTGAGCACTTTCTTCAAAAGAAACCCATTTTGGTGTCAATAGAAAAGTTGTAGAGAATCAAAAATGAGGCTTATAGCCAAATTTCCAAAAAGATACACTTAGTAGTTTCGCTTAAAATGCAAGTTTTGTGAAAGTTTCGTAAATTTGGCATTTCTTGAAAATCAGTTTTTGAATCGTTCTGAAAATTTGGATATAAGCTTGATTTTTGATTCTCTACAACTTTTCCATTGACACCAAAATGGGTTTCTTTTGAAGAAAGTGCTCAAACTGTCTCATATGACAATATCCCGCAGTTTTCAATTCACCAATCCAATAGTTTGATTTCAAAAGAAGATTAAAATCGAGCTACTCTAAGAAAGCTTTTTGCAACTGCTTTTTCCACAATTCTTGCTTACTTTAACAGTTCCGCAGCTCTCAAGACACATGTAGTGAGCTGGATCGAATCTGAAAAGAGTTTACTTCATAAAACGCACTCGACTCACTCAATCGTAACATATTTATTTTTCGGTTTCTCGACTTGTTTCAATTTTGCCTGTGCTTTGTCTTTCAACTTCTTCGCCACAAGATCTCCTTGACCGGTGAGCATACGAGTTGCCTGAAAAATTTTCGGACTTAGACATTAGACAAAAATTATAGCAAAAACTATATTTTCGGTTTTTTTTGCGTACTTGAATCCTGTAGAAAGCTCTGCTCTTTTTGCTCGCTTTCACAACGGTTTCCGTGGCCAATTTCTCCAATTCTTCAATGGGAGCATCGGGATGTTCGAGGCGAAGTTGACGGAACATCTGAAAAATGATCTTTTATAACAACGGTACACATTCACGACAACGGTATTTTGAGTGTACAGTCGCGTAGTCTGACTTTGAACGTCTCGTTCTCGGTGCTGTTTTCTGCTACTGTCTACGCTTGGGTGTCAAATGATAGCTCTTGGAAATCTAGTATCTTTTGGTACCAAAAGTTTAGCTAGGAAAACTCTAGGGACTGAGAAATGATTTTCTAAAAAGAAGTTAGACTACACGATTGAGATGGCGTTCGATTAGAGTATTCACGATAATTTAAACCTCACTAGGGATCGTTGTTTATTTATCACCGAGTTTCAAAGTGGGATCTAGCCTATTTTGTAGCAAATTTTTTGCTGATTCCGAATATCTAAGTCGTTTGTGTGTAATGGATTCAAATTTTTGATTTAAATCCGTTTGAAGTTTTTGCGTGTTGCGCTAATTATCTGACTGTGCGAGTATCAAGCGATGTGTCATTGTGGCGGAAGTGGTCGAAACTTTTGCAAAGAGCAAAAGTTTCGACCAACTCCGGCCTCGAACCACTCGCTCGCTAAGCTCTCAAAGAATTGCGAGCCCAGCCCACTAGGCCCAGCCCACCAGCCCACTTGGCTACGACGACACATCTTCGCACGATGGAGGCTCGCTTGATACTCGTCAGATATTTGGCGCAACACACAAAAGCTACTTTTTTACACACAAATCTCAAACGGATTTAAATCAAAAATTTACACACAAACGACACAAAGCAAAAGCGACTTCCAAAACTTTTATTATTGTTGTAACTTTGTTTTGGATATTTATATTAAGCAAATCTATTTTGAGAAAAATAATTGGGGGCGGAAATTAAAAAGAAAATTTAAAAAAAAAAAAAATTTTAAAAAAAAAAAATTTTTTTAAAAAAAAAAAAAAAAAAAAAAAAAAAAAAAAAAAAAAAAAAAAAAAAAAAAAAAATTAAAAATAAAAATAAAAAAAAAAAAAAAAAAAAAAAAAAAAAAAAAAAAAAAAAAAAAAAAAAAAAAAAAAAAAATTTTTAAAAAAAAAAAAAAAAAAAAAAAAAAAAAAAAAAAAAAAAAAAAAAAAAAAAAAAAAAAAAAAAAAAAAAAAAAAAAAAAAAAAAAAAAAAAAAAAAAAAAAAAAAAAAATAAAAAAAAAAAAAAAAAAAATAAAAAAAAAAAGGGTAGTTAAAAATAATAAAAAAAAAAAAAAAAAATAAAAAAAAAAAAAAAAAAAAAAAAAAAAAAAAAAAAAAAAAAAAAAAAAAAAAAAAAAAAAAAATAAAAAATTTTAATTTTTTATTTTTTTTTATATTTACCAAAAAAAATTTACCTACATCAAATTAATCAACGTTTTTGGTGGCAATCACTGGCATAAATTAGTGGCTATGCGGTTTGCAAGATTTTTTATCAAAATTATCATTTATGACTTTAACAAGATTTTTTTACAAAAACCAAAACCCTTGACCAACTCCGGCATCAAAACACTCGCTCGTTGGGCTCGCAAAGAATTGCGAGCGATTACACGCAAACGACTTAGATATTCGAAATCAGCAAAAAATTTACTACAAAATAGGCTAGATCCCACTTCGAAACTCGGTGGTAAATAAACAACGATCTCTAGTCAGGAATTCACAAATTCCTCACCTCTAAATACTGTTTTCGATGTTCTTCAAAAGCAACCGCATCTGGATCTGGAGCGGCTTGTTGTAAGAGGTGGGCTCTGGAAAAAGTGAGTTCACAAATCTTTTGTCAAAACAAATTTTGATAAGCACAATCGGTAGTTCGAAATTCTAGAGGATATTTTATAAGCGGAATATAGAAATAGAGAAAGTTTGACAGCGAAAGGGCTTAGTAATTTGAGTAGAAGTTATGAAAAATGTAATAGAGTTACGTCTGGGGGTTACAAAGATTTGGCACTCTTAGAAATGGCAACTAGTGATGAGGAATGTGATTTCACTTTTGAAAATTTGAAGGGAAACTTTCGTTTCACTAGTTGCCATTCTTTCAATCAAAATATTGATCAATGTATCAAAATCGTTTTAGCAATAGATAATAAGATGAATTTCTCAAAAGAATTACCGTATTTTCTCTAATAATAGTGCACCCTGAGCCTTGCCTAAATTCCTCGAAATCTCGAAAACCGCTTATCAGAACCTATTGATGTGGGATCGGAAAATGTAGCTGACGATGAGATCTAGTGGGGGATTTGAGTGTTGAGCTTCTGTGAGAACTTTGAAAGCCGTAAAATAGTCACCAACTCGCCTCGCTGGGGTGCACTACTATTAAAGAAAATACGTTAATTCGAATTTCATAAATCGGTGAACCTGATCGGTACTCGATTCAAATCCCATCTTTTCCCGCGTATTTCTCACCAAAAATACCTCATTTCTATCTTTCTAGCAATTTAGGCGATGCTCAGGGTGCACTACTATTAGAGAGAATACGGTCTACAGCCTGAACGTCCGAAACGGCGTAGACGATCGAAAGATAGAAATGAGGTATTTTTGGTGAGAAATACGCGGGAAAAGATGGGTTTTGAATCGAGTACCGATCAGGTTCACCGATTTATGAAATTCGAATTAACGTATTTTCTCTAATTCTGGTGTACCTTGGCGAGCCGAGTTGGTGACTATTTTACGGTTTCCAAGCCTTTGCAGAAGCTCAACACTCAAATCCCCCACTAGATCTCATCGTCAGCTACATTTTCCGACCCCACATCGATAGGTTCTGATAAACGGTTCTCGAGATTTCGAGCAATTTAGGCGACGCTCAGGGTGCACTACTATTAGAGAGAATACGGTATAGAGAGCCTAAATTGCTCGAAATCTTGAGAACCGCTAATCAAAACCTATTGATGTGGGGTCGGAAAATGTAGCTTACGATGTGATCTTGTGGGGGATTAGAGTGTTGAGCTTCTGCAAAAACTTAGAAACCGTAAAATAGTCATCAACTCGGCTCGGCTCAGTGCACTACTATTAGAGAAAATACCGTATATTGATACATTGATTAACATTGATTGATTGATTTTTTTCCCAAAATCCCTTTACTTTCTTTTTTTTCACCTTTCAGTTGGTGTCCCCTTAACGGGCAAATCTGAAATTTTGGGATAAAGAATTATTGAAAACTCACGCATCTTTACCCGTTGCTCCACGAGCTTTTGGGAGATGAGTGGGCGAGCGATGACGACGGAAAACCGATTGAAGTCCGGCTGAAAAAAGGCAATGGGATTTTTGAGTGTACAGTCGCGTAGTTGTTAACTGTTTTGCTGATAATTTGATGAAAATACAAAGAAAAACTCAACTATTATAGTCATTTGATAGCTCTGAATCTTCTCTTGAAAAATTGTACAAAGTTATCGACAAATTTTGAATTTCGTTCACCTTCAAACTCAAATATCTCAGCGCAAATTCAACCAAATTACATTCTCTTTTTTTTATTTTAAAGCCAAAACATTTGTCAACAAGATTTATACTGCAAAGTTTTGCAAAAATCAAAAATAAAGTTCTTAGAAAAATTTAACGAAAGTCATTTTTTTTGAAAAAACGCAACTTTTTTTTTCAACTGTCTTTAATTCAAAATTTTTTGATTATACGTAAAAAATGATAAAAGTAAAAGTTTTAGCTGAAGATTTTTCCTTTGTTAACCAAGTTTTAAAACCATCTACAGCCTGAAATCCAGCTCGTTTACGAAAATCATTTCGCTCGACTTTCAGGGCTCTTTTAGAGGGTAAAAACAGTTATTAATGTACGAAATAGTTTTTCTAATGTTTTTGAAAGTTATTCCAAAGATGTATTTTTGATTTTTGTAAAACTTTTCAGTATAAATCTTGTTGGAAAATGTTTTGGCTTTAAAATAAAAATAAAGAGAACGTAATTTGGTTGAATTGACGCTGAGATATTTGAATTTAAAGATGAACAAAATTAAAAACCGTACTTTCATCTAATAAATAAGAAAATTCTTACAAAAACTTGAGTTGTCAAGAAAAGTAGACATGGGAAAATTGTCATTAGTAGACATGGGAAAATTCCGAGCTGAACCTAATTCCACCTTCGTTTTCTTGGCCGTTTTCTCGGCCGTTTTTTGACCGATTGCTCTGAAATTTTGTCTACAAGCTGAAAATGCCAATTTCTATTTGTAGAAAAAATTTCAGAGCAATCGGCCAAGAATCGGCCAAGAAAACGATGGTGGAATTAGGTTTGGCTTGGAATTTTTCTATTTCTAATACAACCCACGCATTTTTGTGTGTGTGTTAAAGTTCAGTTTCGTTCTTGCATTCTTGCAAAAACATTCTTGCAGCTTGTATCTACGATTGCACACTGGTTTCCCTTGCACTCACAAGTAAAGAATCGCCTCCCAAATATGCCAGCATGTTGATCAGCAAAGTAAGCCGAAGCGACAGTGAGCGGGAAGAAAATGAATGTCAAAGCGCCCTCCCAAACCTGTAAAATAAATCAATTTTCATTTAGCGTTCATCTTTTGACTCAAAAAATCCCCTACTTCCACGACATTTGGCGAAAAGACACAAAGAATCAAGTAGAGCCACACATAGGCAAAAGTCGACCAGATAACAGTCACCCAAAAGACGTGATTGTGTTGAACTCGACGAACCTCACCGGCTGGTATTGACTGCAAGTGAAAATAAATTAGCTGAAATATAAATTTCATTTGCTCACTTTTCTAATAGTTGTTTTAAATCATTTCCCACAGATTATTTATTAACTAAGTGTTAACTAAGTGTTAACTAAGTGTTAACTAAGTATTAACTAAGTATTAACTAAGTATTAACTAAGTGTTAACTAAGTATTAACTAAGTATTAACTAAGTGTTAACTAAGTGTTAACTAAGTATTAACTAAGTGTTAACTAAATGTTAACTAAATGTTAACTAAGTGTTAACTAAGTATTAACTAAGTGTTAACGCGTCTGTAACTCCCTTGTCTTTGAGTTTAAACTATTAGTGTTATACATTTTCTAAAACCTCTTTTCAAGGGCTACACAATGGTAATATTAATATTTAGAAATACGGTAAAGACAAAGGAGTTACAGACGCGCGAAAGTGACGATCGTTTTTCAATATTTCATTGTCCAGTAGTGTAAGTGTTTTCTAAAGTGCGGACCCCCTACCGTACCTCTATTTGTCCGCCATTTCACAACATTGTTTCTTTTTGGTCAAATTCATTGTCAAACTTTTTTTTTGAAAAGAATTGCCTAATAAAGTCATGGACAAAAGTCTTTTAACGTTGTTTTTTTTTGTATTTCTTGGTCCAAATCCAACCTTCGATGGACAAAAATCTTTTAACATCACAGTTTTTTCGAGAAATTTCTTTTTCTGTTTTTACCTTTTGGTTTCTGATTGCTAACTCTGATTTTTTTAGATGCCCGGCGCCTACTTATCAACTCCGGACAAAGAGAAAATCGTCGAAGTTCGAAAAAATGGGTTGTCTAGAAAAGCGGTCACTGAGTTCTACCAAAACAACTGTGTTGCTTGTTGTCTCCAAAGCCAAACTCGCGGGAAACGTTCATCGTGCATCAAAAAGTGGGCGTCTACCAGTCACAACTTTACGAAAAGACAAGGCACTCGTTCTGGCCCACAAGAAGGACCCAAATCTGAATGCCTCTGATGAATGCTATGTTAAAGCAACAGTTTAACAAAGAAATTTCTCGAAAAAACTGTGATGTTAAAAGACTTTTGTCCATCGATTTTTGGCTAAATTTTTGTTTTTTTAGAAAGCTCATGACGTGTTATGGTTGAACGCATCTTTTTGCTAATGCTAAAACTAGAGATTATAAACTCTTTAAATCTTTCAGTTTGCAAATTGCTCAAATTTAGACCAAGATATACGAAAAACAGACTTCTGAAAACCAACTTTAAAAGACTTTTGTTCATGACTGTATTTCGTCTGTTTAATGAGATGGTAACCAATTTTTAAAACCATCTACAGTCTTCAGACTTGACTTCAGAATCCAGCTCGTTTACGAAAATCACTTAAATTTTTAAATCAACTTCAACTCAAATTGTATCATCAAAATCAAGGATATCAAAGAAACAAAAACGTAGACAACACTCACCAAAATACAAATCGCAATAATGACGTAGAGATTGAAAGCGGCCGATCCGACAATCGTCGATGGACCCAATTCTCCGGCATTGAAATTGTTTCCGAAAATTTCAATCACTGAAAGGAGAATCTCGGGAGCTGATGAACCTGGAAAGAACTTTTGATTCTTTATCTGATTTAATTTTTGATTCATTTAATCACCTAAAGCCATGAGCGTGAGATTGGAGACAGTTTCGTTCCAGACTCGAATCATTTTCACTTCTTTATCTTGACTGAATTTCTTCGTCACTTTGATCTCCCTTTCCTGTGATGTGATCACTTCAATGGCAGCCATGAATCTGAAAACTTTCTCGTTAGTTTTTCTTCTAGCAAACATTAGTTTAATTCGCATTTTAACATTGCTCATTTGCTCTGAAAACCCTAGTATTTCCTTTTTTCTTTCTTCCTTTCTTCTCCCCCCTTGTCTTTCCCTCTTTCTCTTTATTAACTTCTTTATTACTAGTCTGAAAGTAGTTAGATACCTATCAGCGACAATCGACACTCCATAGAACATATAAGCGAGAGCAACGAGGTAGACGATTGCCCGAAAAACGACTGCACATTGCGAGACTTCACTCTAAAATTGATCAAAGTGTATTTTTTCGTTTCTTCAGTGTTGTTGAATCATAAATTCCAATTATCTACCAACCGCTGGCGGTGTCCAAACAGGAAGGATCACTCCAGGAGAGCAAGGCTTTGCCCCAGCACATTTATCGCCGGATTGCTCCACAGCATTAACTCCACTTAAAGAAAAGAGGAAACAGATTACGAGAATTGATCTAAAAAGAGATCGAGAAGAGAAAAAGGAAGTCGAGGATATCCGGAGAGATCCCATCTTTGCGTTGATATCGATGGACTGAGATCTCACCTCATTTCTGCAAATTTTACAAATGTCGCTGGTATTTTAACAGAAGTTTAACAGAACAAAAGTTTTGAAAGAAAAAAGACAAAAGTTGCATTGCACAAGAGTTATATAAGCTAATTGTTTGCATGATTTTTTGAAATATTGTTGGAATTGTTGAAATTGTTGAAATTGTTGAAATTCTGAAGCAACTTAAGCAATTTTGAACAAAAAGCTGCATAAGCTGATAGCTGAAAGCTGATTTGACAAAGCAATAGCGAAAAGCTGACAAATTTCTTCAATCAAAATTGTTTCAATTGCTTCAATTGCTAAAATTTTTATTTTCAGTACTATCAAAAGCAATATATTGTTTATTTGATAGCTTGTGGTTCAATCTCGATCTTTGTAGCAAAAAGGAGATCCGAATCTCCACCAAATATCGGTCTTGGTAAATTTTGAAGAGAAAAAAAAAGAAGAAAAAGCAAAAAGCAGAGACACAAATTGAATGATTTCGCGGTCGCCTTCACTCAAGGAAAATCGACGGACCGCTCCCCAAAAAAAAGAGAAAAATTGAAAAAATTAGGGGAAAAGAAAGGGGAAATATTGCGGACTGATCTAAAATATTACTAGGGATGGAATTGAGAAAAAGAATCGTTCACTGTAAATCGATTTGGTTGCTTGATTGCTGAAAAGATAAGTTGCAATTAAAGTTTCATTAAAAATATTGATTTGAAGCTTTTTCAACGTTAAAGATGGCTCGTTTAAGATAGTTTTGTAAAGGTCCAGGAAATGAGCTTTGCTTTCATTGTTTCCATTCAACTCCCCAAACCATCTTACAATTAGTTTTGGCCTTCATTGAGGTCCGACTACGAAAAGTTCCGGATTCTTCACTTGGCCCCTAATAGACATAGAGCTTTTCCTCATTTCAAAAAAACACAAAATTTATCGCGTAAAACAATAACTTCAATTAATCTACAAATGATTTGAAAAATGAAAAAGAAACGTCAACGCGGCGCTCCCATCGACTACCTCCAAATGGCGGCGACGTCAATTGGAATGCGACGACGCGCGAAAATTAACTTTTAACAATAAAAGGCTCTAGTTTCATTTCTTTTTGCTTTCAAAAGTTATTTCTAAATAAATAAATATCTCGCTGAGTGGAAAAAGGGTTCAATCGAGACAAATTATAAACATTTCTTGAAATGAAAGAAATAAGAACAGATGGCATTTACGCCTTTCAATGAAAAAACAATTGAAGAAGTTAGAAAGTCAATGGGATTGATTCGTTTTTGAAATTAGCCTTAGAAAAAGATGAGGGTAGACATTAACACAAATCATTTACAAACTGACATTTTGATTCAATCCTCTAAATGCAAAGTGCTTCAAAGGTTTTCAAAAATCTCTTTAGATATATAAAGAGTCAATCTATGTGCGTGCTCACTTTATGCTGCCTTTTTTACGGAAAGGGAGGCGGAATTTCAAAGCACGTTGCTCGGAGAGACACGGGATTTTTCTGAATAGTGGAAAATCAATTTGAGATTCGAGATATAAACTGCTTTACTTGAAAACTTACAGTGATCTGTACAATCTAAACAATTCTAGTAATCTGTGAGATTCGATGTTGACTGTTGCTGTGAAACTTTACTGTGTCCACAGCTTTCCAAATTCGGTAATAGTTTTTTTTGGTTTCTATACTTTCTATTAGTTCCAAAGTAGGTCTAGACTTTAGAAAAGACTTAAATAACCATTCTGGGGTTAAGTGCATTTTCCCATCAACTTTCAAAACAGAGAATCAAATTTGAAACTTAAAATTGAATCAATTAGAAGCAACAAAACCAGAAAATGCTACAAAAGCTCTACAACTCTACAACTACAACTCTTCAACTACAACTCTACAACTACAACGCTACAACTAAAAAGCAAGCTTCCCAAATTGAAACATTATTCACTTTCATTGACAAAAAGAATTCAATGTCGTTTGTCTAGCAAAAGGACATGAGATCCAAGAAAAAAATAAGAGGAAAGGGGCCATTTTGGGGTGAAGAGGTGGCTGTTCCGAAGAAAAAAGAGAAAAAAAGGAAACAGAAAAGAGAATTCTGTCTTTTTCAGCTTTTCAGTTGCTTTTCGAAAAAAAAACGACGACAAAAAGGCCCTAAAAATTGGAGGAAATTTTTTGAAGAAAAAGATATTGGATCCACAAAGGACCACCCTTGGAGAAAGGCTTTAAGAAAAAAGGGGGAAAGATGAAAGAGACATTCATTCCCTCGGGATTAACACGTTTTTGAGTTTGCTCAAAGGAGAGGTAAACGAGGAACGAACGAGGTAACTTGGCTTTAATTTCAGAGCTGAAAAATGGAAGAAATCGTTAAAAATGGTTATTTGAACTTGAAGAAAGCTGAAAATGGCTACACAAATGCCACAAAAAAAAACTCTATTAACTTTAAAAAAACTACATTTATTCAAATGAATAATGAATAATGAATAATGTGGGACAAATACAAGACACATAACGCACAACGCAATGCACATCTCTAACCCTAAATGTTGGCAAGGAAAAGAAATCTACCTATATGGAAAAAAGAACTAACGATTTTTCCGACGGGATTGAACCCTCGACCTTTCGATTAGGATATACAGGGTGCGTCATAATTATTGCAACAAGAGTTCAAAGATCGTTTGTGATGTCAAGAATGTGATGTCATGGGCGTGTAAAGCCAATAACAATCAAAATTGGACCTTCATGCAAGATGGAGCTCCCGCTCACACGAAGAAGACGGTTCAGGACTGGTGTGTGGCCAACTTTCCCTCAGTGATCACCAAGGATGAATGGCCTCCAAACTCACCGGATCTCAATGTGATGGACTTTTCCATTTGGGCAATTTTAGAGGCTAATGTCTGCTCTCGAAAACACACAAGTTTGGATTCTTTGAAGAAGTCTTTGACCAAAGGATGGAAGGCGATTCCTCAAGATGACATTCGGGCCGCAGTGGAGGCATATCCGAACCGATTAAGGGCTGTTATCAAGGCTGTCATCAAGGCAAAAGGCGGTCATATCGAATGATCTCTTGTTTCCTTATTTGTTACTGTTAAATAAAGCTATTTTTCTGTTTAAAAATCTTCTTCCAGTGAAACTTCTTGGTGTGCAATGCCTTGAGTATCTTGTTGCAATAATTATGACGCACCCTGTAGATTAGGATATAAGACTTCTAACCAGTCGGCCATGACAACTTGCTTTCAAAGTTTCGGTAAAATCCAACTCATTAACCACATTGAACATATTGATTGACGAAGAGTATGTATTGATGTGCGAACGGGAGAGAAAAGCCTCGTTTATTCACACACACACACACACACACACTTCTCCTACAGCACATAAAATATTGAAGATGTTTTAACGCAAGAATTTTTCAAAAAGGAAAAGAAAAGAAACACTTAGTATAAATTCGAAAGATTTTCGCTCACAAATCACCAATCGGAAATGGGAATTTAAAAGGAAAAGAATCAAAAAAATGTTTGTCAAATGTGATTTCGAAAACAAAGTATGAAGAAAATGAAAAGAAAATGAAGAAAATGAAAACCGTGAGCTCTTTTTATGACTACTTTTTAAAGTTAAGTTCATTAAAGTTTTCCAAGTTTTCCTAAGAAAAGCTAAGTCTCTTTCAAAAGTTTTCTACAATAAATGATTGATCCATGATCTTTTTCATATCATAAATTTCAAAGCACATAAATTGTTGAATGAATTTCTAACGGTGCTATACCTTTTTTTTCGTTTTGTTGAGCAAGAATTTATTTTCGAGAGTTGAAAGAGATCTGGGCGTTACCAAGGCGAAAATGCATTATTCGTGATCGGGTATTTTTCCGAAAAAAAACGGAAAAGCACCTGGATTTTCTGAAAGTCGCTTTACCTCTCAAAAATGAGATTTGAAAGTTAGAAAAGGAAAGTAATGTTTTGAGTGTAAAAGTGAATAGATTGAATAAAACAAACTGCTTGTTTTCTTTCAGTGATTATCTAAGAATGCTTTTTGATTTACACCCGACTTTTGAGCGTAGACATATTTCTTTTTTGCGCTGTTTCCGAATATCTACCGTAAATACTGTAATAGTACCCCCACCCCCCTCGTACAGTCGCGTAGTCGCAAAATTTTTTTAGTATTTCATTTTTTCAAAGCGCCCGTACTTTCAAAGAATGCGTCTTTGGTATCAAAAAATAGCCCTGAATTTCAGCTATTTTTTGATACCTAAGCGCGCATTGTAGCATAAACCAGTGTCGAGAAAAACTCGTTCAAAGCTAGAGCTACGCAACACTCCGCACCGTCATTATGGGGGTGGGCTACTATTACAGTATTTACGGTAGTTTGAAATGAAAAACATGATAAACTTGAATAGAGAATAGAATACGTTTTCAGAAGCATAGAATAGATCAAATTAAAATTTTTGAAATGTTTAAACATTTCATTCGTAAACGGCTACGATATATACGTTTCTTGATGATTTTCTTGAGTCTCGTGTGATCAATTTTTGGCGGACGTCCACTTTTAGGAAGCTCTTCGACTCTATTTTGTTGCAACTTTCAAAAAATGCGTCTTTGGTATCAAAAAATAGCTGAAATTCAGGGCTATTTTTTGATACCTAAGCGAACATTGTAGCATAAACCAGTGTCGAGAAAAACTCGTTTAAAGCTAGAGCTACGCAACAATCCGTACCGTCATTATGGGGGTGGAGTACTATTACAGTGTTTACGATAGGTCTTTTGGGGGTGACATGTTGAAATTCGAAAGTTTTAGTCAAATCACTAAATTACAAAAAGCAAAAAGATCATCTGCAAGCGGAGGTAAAGAGCCGAAGGCAAGCACACTAACCAGTAGGCCATAAGCTCACGTTTTCAGAGCTGCGCAAAAGGAATTTGACTCTCCATGACCGAAAAAGCTATACTCAAAAATTTTGTGTAAACTTTGGAGCTGAATATCTTGCGAATTTCAACACGTCATCCCCAAACGTCCTAGATATTCGGAACCTATCTCGAAAACTATGT